CAAGCTTGTTTTCATCTTTAATAACTAACAATCAAAATAATAACTCCTGTTCACAATAAATAAATAAAAAAGTTTTAAATCTTGTGGGTGGAGAATGTAAAACCAACAAACTTGGCGTTTTTTGTCCTGTTCTCCGTTTCTCCACGAATCACTGTGCTCCCAAGGATGAGCCTGAGAGACTTTCAAAATAAAACTGATTAATCCCTAAACTTTGGAGATTCTTTGGCCAATGTGGTCAATTACGACCAAATGACCATTTTACTTTTCCTTGCATGTAAGTTAACTGCAGCCACAAGGAAATAAGTTTGGTAAGAAGAAGCCCAGCTGGGGACAAGCATTGCAAAAAAAAAAAAAAAAAGTCCTAGTCCACGGGTGTCCAAAGTACGGCCCGAGGGCCATTTGCGGCCCTTGGAGTGATTTTATGCGGCCCACAACTGCAGTTAAAAAATGGTATCATTTTGGCCAGCAGGCTTAAGAGGGCAATGCAAACTTTCTGCAAATTAGTTGGTACAGCGAAACGGATGAAAAACAATCTTCTCAACAGGAGCATCCATCCATCCATTTTCTTTACCCGTTTATTCCATTTTGGGTCACGGGGGTCGCTGGTGCCCATGTCCAGCAATCACTGTGCGAGGGGCGGGGTACACCCTGGACAGGTCGCAAGTCCATCACAGGGCCACATAGAGACAAACGAGACAAACAACCATTCACTCTCTCACTCACACCTAGGGACAATTTTAGAGTTACCAATCAGCCTAACATGCATGTTTTTGGTCTGTGGGAGGAAACCGGAGTACCCGGAGAAAACCCACGCATGCACGGAGAGAACATGCAAACTCCACCCAGAAAGGCTCCTGGACCGGGGTTTGAACCAGGAACCTGTTCGCTGAGAGGCAGCAGCTCTACCAGTTGCGCCACCGTGCTGCCCTCAACAGGAGCAATATTAAACAAAATACAAACCTTTCTTTACATTTTCACTTCATGGCACAAATGCACCAAAAATCTTTACTGGTTTCTACCAGAAAGGAGACTTTTGGATAATGATCCATAAAACTTGTCAAAATATTGCAGTTGATAAAATAATCAAGAGGGAAACTGGATATTTTTAAATGTGTATAACATGGTATCATCTACATACGAGTTGATCAACTTTATCAAACCTTCTATGAATCTGTTGTAGCGACTGACAGCTGGACGATGTTTCAGAACTTCAATCAGCCTTTTGGTTCGTCCATGGTCCAAAAGGCTGATCGAGCCTCTTTGAAAAGGACACTTACTCATATTGCGCTTCTATTGCAAGAAAACAACAAACATAGACGTCACCCAACTAATCAAATCCTTTCTAATGCAAAAAAAATTAATGTATGATGAGGCTTTTAATGTTTTGGATCTAGAACAATTTAAAACTTTCTCCACAAAAATGAGTAAATTTGTCCTTTTTCCAAAATATTGTTCACATTGAAAGTTAAATTCACATTTCTGTGGCCCAGGAGTCCTTGCATTCTTGATAGTTTTGTCCCACATATGGAAACATTTGGACACCCCTGTCCTAGACTAAAAACAGTTAGAGTGGACTACAGACAAACAGCAGATGAATAAATAATGCAAGTAGCACGAAATGTTGATCAAGTCGAGCTGAGGAATATAAATAAGTGTAACAAGAAGAGATAATTACAGCTGAGGGTCTTTTGTGTCCATGTTTTCCGTCAGAGTAAGATTTTTGTAAGAAAAAAGGATCAAGACGTTTAATTATTTACTTATTTATTTGAATGTGTGGCACGTTCTTTCAGGTGCACCAAGGAGTGATCCAGGACTGCGAGTCCAAGGCCAGGATCAGCCTGTTCCTGCAGGTGGCCATGTGTTTGTCCAACGTGTCCTGCTGCCTGGACGCTCTGTGCTACTACTTCATCGCTCACGAGGTGAGGAGCACCAAGCACGTCATCAGGAGGTCAGTGAGCGGCCAGAGACGAGCCACCTTCAGCTCTTCAGGGGTCTGAACTCTCTGGACGCAGAGGTGGAAGTCGAGCTCTGGGCTCAGTTCTTTTTTGTCGTTTGGAGCTGCTCTGTAGAGCGACGCGGAGCCAGCCGCTCACGAGGAAGTGCTGCTCGCACTGAGAGCAGTGGCAAATAAAGCAGGTCAGCCTGCACGCTCGCTTAACCACCGAGCTGAAGCTGTGTGGGCCTGCGATGGGGCCCAGCGCAGGAAGGCAGCAGGGCACCTCTCTGAACCACCAAGCTGCTCCGATCACCCAAGTCAAGGCGGCGAAGAGGAAAATTGCACAAAGCAAGAAGTGTGAGTGATGGAAACACTCGCAGCTCGCTGCCTCCTGGTGAGAAAGTCACGCTGTGATTCATTTTAAATGTGGGGCTCGAAGCAGAGACTTTTTGTTTGAAATGCTCAGGAAGTGACATCATACGAGATGAGAGGAGCTCAGACTGTTCTGGAGAGTCTCGTTCAAAATAAAGTCAATAGATAAATACATTCTACGAGTCTTGTCATTTAGGAGACAGTCAGCTCTGATAAAGGTAGATTTATACAAAAATAACTTTATATGTAGGTTTTTTTGTTAAATTAATGCATCAAGCTGACCTAAATAATAATAAAACACGAATCCCTGGTTGGCAGCACAGTGGCGCAACTGGTAGAGCTGCTGCCTCTCAGCGAGCAGGTCCCTGGTTCAAACCCCGGTCCAGGGGCCTTTCTGGGTGGAGTTTGCATGTTCTCTCTGTGCATGCGTGGGTTTTCTCCGGGTGCTCCGGTTTCCTCCCACAGTCCAAAAACATGCATGTTAGGCTGATTGGTAACTCTAAATTGTCCCTAGGTGTGAGTGAGAGAGTGAATGGTTGTTTGTCTCGTTTGTCTCTATGTGGCCCTGTGATGGACTTGCGACCCGTCCAGGGTGTACCCCGCCCCTCGCACAGTGATTGCTGGACATGGGCACCAGCGACCCAAAATGGAATAAACGGGTAAAGATAATGGATGGATGGATGAATCCCTGGTTTATATTTGATGAAGTCTTGAAACATACAAACATCTGTTTTTCTGAATAGTTGTTTATAACCAACAACTGATCAAAAAACATAGTAATAAAAAAGATGTGACAAAGTTTTTGTATCCTTTGGTTCCTCTGAAGGTTATGATATGTTTAGGCGATATAACTTCAGAGAAGTAAATGAATGATTTTACCCCAAAACTGAGTTTTTTAAAGTTATTCTGCCATGTTTATCTTTAAGAACGTTTTTTATGTTTGTTTTGTTAATGAGAATGTGAATAAAACTTGAAGCAGAGGAGAAAAAACGTCAAATTTATTTGTAATCTTGAAACTGCAAATAAAATAAAATAAATAAATAACGAGAATTACGGTCATTTTATTTTAAAGAAGGAGAGGAGTAAAGAAAGTCTGGAGAGAATTGGTGTTTTTCCAAAAACAAACGTACTGTTTTTATTTTTATTATTATTTGTACATCTATAGTTTCATCTTAATTATTAATAAGACACATTGCTGGTTATATTTGTAAATCTTATTTATAAACAACACGTTATAATAGAAATTTACGAGTTTAGTTTGTAAATAAATGTTAATTTGTAAATGTGTCATTTACAGGATTGTTCATAAAACTGTTTTTACGTTTAATACGAGAGCCAAATTATTTTTTTAAATGTTTTTAAAGTTTTTATTATGCTCCAATTTTCATGTGACTCATGTTCATGTAAAAACAGTGGGAGGTATTATATACAAGCATAATTAAATAGACTTACTGATAAAAATGATCAAAACTGCATTACATCTTCTATTAAAAATAATAAAATAATCTGGATAAGGCACAAAATAACGAGAAGTTTGTTTACTTCAGACTTTTTGTCTCTTATTGTTTTATGGTTTTACTCCTGGTTTTTCAACTAAATTAAAATTTAGCTAACTTTATAATAATAATAATAATAATAATAATAATCTCCTGGTAACAAGCAGATCTCATCCGTTTTGAAACTTGTGTCAATAAAGCAGCAGGAAAACAAAATTAAAATTCAAGTTTATGGAAGAAAATCAGTGCCAGGAAATGTCCTCTTTGTGTATTTTTTATATTATTTATATTTATATTTTTGGGTTGATCCATAAACTCCAAGCTGTTTAACAATATAAAGTAAATGAATGATTTTCACCAAAGCTGCAGTTTAGAGTTTTATAGAAAACTCATCTAATGTATAAATAATAAAACCTTAAGCTACTATATCATCTGCTCACAACAGACTCATGTTCAGGCTGCTGTTTAATATACCATATTATATGATATTATTATTGTTTAGCATATGTTAGTTTCTTGTATACCTGGTTTTTTTTTTAATAGTTTATATTTTTGCAAATTTGGGTTATAACTGGGATCTTGAGTACACAATTTCATTCCACCTCATGTACCACGTGATGCGAATGACAATAAACTTGAACCTTAAAAAGGTTTATAGAATTTCAGTCGATCAAAATTAATTAAACTGTGCAGATTAACTCAGCAATTGTTAATTTTTTACATAAAATACAGGATAATTATACATTTCACTAAAAGGAATTCCAAAAGACAAAATAAAGATTGATCGTTTATTCTTAAAGCAGCAAAATCTTACAAGAAAATTCATCTGTACAGGTAAAAGTAACGACGGATGTGCACAGGTAGGACGCAGTGTTGAGAAACGGCACCATTGTGGACAGGAAGGACTGAGACCACAGGCGGATCAGAGTGAAGAGGAGGAAGAGCAAAACAAAACGAGTTTTAGCCTTTCATCTCATCTACAGTGAGTGATCCGAACTAAAGCATTCTTTATAAATATTATAACCCTTAACGCAGCATATAGCATCACCCTCTGCAGACTTTGGTTCACGTCATCCTTCTACAGCACTGCTACTAGTTACAGTCTAAAGCCGTTTATATCCAACAAACAGGAACGTTTTGGACCAATAAAAACCAGTGGCAAACCATAAATAAATGATCGTTAACAAGACGAGTTGATTTCTGATAAAAATCTATGCGTGTAACAAGAACGTTAAGAAGAAATCCATTTACAGTATATATTGCTTTGGAACAAATCAGTTATATACACATCATTAATGATTTAAATCAGCAAATTAACAATATAACTACATGAGGTATGTTTTGCCATTTAAACCAAATAAACAAGAATCAAGTAGTAACGCGAGTGCAGAGTGCGAGCAGCTTCAAAAAGTATCTTTACAAAAGATCTGCAGTGCACCGGATTACTCAAAAACACAAGGACGAGTCGAGTTAAATCGAGTTTTCTGATCTGACACACTAACATTAACATCTGCTCTACAAGACAGCCTACAGTTACATCTGAACACGTTACTCACGTACATACACAATCTAAAAATTAAAAAAGACATTCACATTTTAGGTTGACAGTAAGAGAGCATTAGAAAAAAAAAAAAAAAAAACACAACCTCTAACAGATTGAAACCAATGGACAAAACGTTGTAAAGTGCAGTTGAACGCATCAGGAATTCAAGAGGTATGGTTTGAAATCGGCTTCGGTGTCGGCTGGCTGTGATTTCCGCCTCAGATTTAGAATCTGTCGCAGATGACGGTCTCGACCACAAACGTGTTTTCGAAGTGACGAATCCGGTGACACTTCTTTGTCTCGCGCCTCTCGATACCTGGAAGAGAAGACGAGACAGGGTTTAGAAAAATAAAAAAACATCTGTGCAGCACTGAAACTGCTTGTGTTTGCATCGACTGCTGCCGTCTACAGGTTTGAATCAGCAGCAGCGGTTCATACGGTTTCAACTATTTATGTTCTCAGGGGGAAGTTTACTGCATCGTTTCTGGAGCTCTTGCACCAATCGAGAGCAGCGATGACAGTTATCATTTGTGCACGTCGCTACCTCCTCCACAGCGTGTGTGGAGGTGTCCACAGCACTATGGGTGACTCACAGAGGAGGAAGTTCCCAGGCTGTGCCCACACACAAACACCAAGCTGTTACAGCAGCTTCGCTACACTGAAACGTTTGGAAGGAAGGCCCTATTTGGTCCTAGCTGTGCTCCACACCCAGACCTGAGCTCTGTGATTCAAAGGCAGACAACGCAGTGACCCTCGCACACGTCACATGACTCAGCTGGTCACAGGGGCTGGTGTGAAACAGGCGGAAGTGATCCAGCACCAGTCAGTCATAATTTAGCATCTCATGTCCCCCCCCCCCCAGAGTAGGCGCAGAGTGTTCACTTACGGTGGCGCTGGCTGCGGCGTCTGAGGCGGTACGTTTCTTTGCCAAAGCAGAGTCTGTGGATGAACGGGCCCAGCTGCCTCATGTTCCTCACCCTTCCAGTCACCATCATCTCCTCCTGAACGATGTACGTCTGAGGCAGGTACGTCCCTCTCTGTGACAGAGACGCTTATTATTAATCACTCAGTGAACAGAACACAGATGACAGGGAGCATGCTGTCCCCTCTGTCTTTCAGGCGTGCTTTAAAATAAACAACTGCATTATTAAGAGTCTCACCTTGACGTTAATAAGTAGCTCCCACAGGCTCCGCGGAGGCATCACCGAGGTCGTGTTCAGCTCAGTGATGTAGCATTTGTCCAAGGCAATGTCGTAATAAGCCGTGAGGCCCTGGAAGTAACAAACACTGAATGTTAGGAAAAACACTTTAAACAAAGACGTAACGAGAGGACGTGAAGTCAGAACTTACCCTCTGGAAGTCGTGGATGATATCAGCCGGGTCGCTGCCTCCAAAATGTGGCACGGGCACGCTGATTTGTTCGTAGTTATCATCAAGGTAGATGCCGACGTTCTCCTCCATTTCTTGCCGTCCCCTCAGGGGAGCGTAAACTGAGTCCTCAAAGACGACCCGGCAGTGGAACAGGCTGTCCTCTGGGATCTGCTGTTGGGACGAGGCATAGCTGAGTTAGCACAATATCCGTTTGCTTGACCTCATGGTTGATGTGCATTAGAATGGTGCACCTGACTAACCTGAGGTACACAGTAGTGGCGGTAGATATACACAGAGGCCATCACCAATCCTGCCAAGAAAATCACCAGGCTGAGGATGAGGCAGCACAGGCCCAAAGGAAAAGGCTTTTTAGGCCTCAGGATAGGAACCACCCGCCCCTGTAAAGAAAGGAAAAGTCCATTTGTTAAGGAGCACGTCAGGATAATCACAGTGATTTAAAAGTTTTTGATGACTCTGATTACTATTCGAAGACCTTTAAATGTCTTGAACAGTTTTGATGGAGCAGAAAAAACTAGTTCACTTTTATGTCTTTGTGTAATTGCTGTTAGAGCCACTGATTCAGCATCAGTCGATGCAACAGCTGCGTCACAAAGCTGTGCTTTCTCTCACAAAGCCTGAAATATAACAGAGATTATTCTGACAGGAGGGCAGCTGCCAAGTTGTTAGTCAGGCGAGAAGATCTGATAGACGTAGGATGGACTAGAGTGAGGCATGCAAGATGCCCGCCCACGGTCTCTCAGTCAATCTAATGCCTCTCCCTACTATCGTTTCCATGGAGAGCGGAAGTGAGGAGAACAGACTGTGCCAGGCTCTGACGAAGATGCTGGCACGTGGCCGTCTGGGTCTATTCTTGGAGGCCCACTTCCATGCTCCATATTTGCAGATATTAAGTCTCAGCTCTCTGAGTGGGAGTCAAAAAAAGGACAAGTGCGTAGAGCAGGAGTCCCTCTTCAGAGGTGGACGTATTAATAGATCTACACATACTGGCTCTGACGCCACAAATCTGATCTTAGCCATTCAGAATCCCTGCAGCCTCTGACATCCTTCTGTTGATGCGTCAAACGGATGAAAATGTATGTTTTTGGAGACGTCATCAAGTGGGTTTTTACTGTGTACACTACAGTGTGTTGGGATAAAGGATGAGGCTTTGACATGAGCCCATCTGCTGAGTGACAGACATATATAACACATATGGTTACAACCAACTCAGATAATATGATAGGGCTAATTAAACTCATTTAAACATGAGCATCAAATCTTTAGCCAGCACTTATTTGCATGTGCATACTGGCACACTACATATCTGTACTTTTCATTTTTAATGTGTAAATTATGTTAAAAGTGTTTTTGTCTCTTTGCAGTGACTTCAATAGCTATTTTTTTAGCTCATCTCTACAGAGCACAAATGAATCTCATTGTGATGCGCTCTGTAGCACCACCTCTAGGATTAATGAGGTATTACACCTCCTGGTTCGACTGCTGCAGTATATCTGCACGAGTGATTCAGGGGTGGTTGTTGTTGTTTTTTCTTTCTGTAAATGTACACCAAGGTTGGATATGTTTTTGTGTTCTAGATGCATTATTTTACCAAGCATTAAAAAATAACGTTATAAACACCTTAATGCATTCCAATATACAGGACTACTGTCTGCAGTGTGCGCCCATATGATATGACGTAATGTCAACATCCACAGGCTGGGACGTCATGCAGGGGTGTTGCTATCATGCACACACCATTTAATGCGTTGCTGCAATCTCAAATTGATAGAATAAAAACAAGCATAATTCCAATCATTTCATATTTAACAGGCTTTTTTTTTTTGGATTGTGGATTAACCATTTAAACAAATCCCATCAGTGACCGGATAGTTAAACCTTAATCTGCTTAATTCTGCCCCAAGCATTAGAGTAAATCCAATCTGAGACAGATGCCAGAGCAGAGGAAACAATGAAAGAAGACCAAAGTGTGCAAACTCACGTGATGAGGCTGGGGAATTGTGATCTTGTCCGGATGCTCGTTGTCTTTTTCGGGCTTCTGCGCCGACACTGGCTGGAAGGTGATCTTCACCATGTTTGTTAGCTTAGTGTGAGCTGTCTTTGTCTCCTGTCTGCTTCGGTGAGCTGATTTTCCTCCACGGCGCCCGTGAAGGTTATATAGCAGCGTAGCGGCGTCGCCCCCGGGGATCTGTGACGTCAAAACGGCGTCTTCTCTGACGAACGAGCGCCGTGTGGGCCAGAGGGGAAAGCCTCCTCTGCGCTGTCAAAATAAAAGATCGCGTCGGCGGAAAACTTTGTAAATCAAACAAAATCTGCAGCTTGTGCACTAGTAATGCTACGAAATGATTTGAGTTAAATAATTAGAGCTTTTTCCTGTAACAAAGCACATTTAACACCCGTTTTGTGGGTATTACGATACATCGCGCTCTTATTTTGAAGTCGAGCTCCGAATATGGTACGAGTTTCCGCATTTTATTTAAAGCTGAATGTCCTCCTCTCAACTAAGTCCCCAACACGATCATCCGGAAATGTTGTGATGTTTTAAATTGGCTCAGACAGCAACTATACTGCAATAAAGTGATCAACCACTGAGGAGGGATTTTAATGCTTAGCCCAGTCTGTATGCACAGTTTAAACTGTACTATCAGTACCATCCAACGAATGAATGGATGGATAATGTAATGTAAAATTGTGAAGACTGGAAAGATATGTGTGGTAGCAGTATGCCGTTTTAAAATAAATTAAAAGTTTAAAAAAAATCTATTAAGAAACCAATGTGAATGCAATAAACTTTGGTTAAAATAGTGTTTTCTGTATTCAGTATCCACCTGATTACCACATATGTGCAACCCATTCTACATCTCCATTAAAACTAACACTACATACAAATGATTTACAGAAAGTTCTGGTCACAACTCGTAAAAAGTCTAAATAGTATTCACTATTTGTATAAGCCATAGTGTGTTAAATTGGGGTTATGACCCTGGGACCCTGAGTACACAATGTCGTTCCACCTCATGTACCACATGTGATGCAAATGATAAAGATACTTGAACTTGACACAAATAAATAGCAAACGCTTGCTAAAACAGGTGATCTGCACAGGGTAAATAGTTTCACAGCTGTTAGATTGTTTATTTTGTATGCTACATGCAATTTACACCTTTCAAGGTATTGCTCAATCATAAAAATGTATTTCTTCATATTTCTTTTGAGGGACTCAAAAGCTCTTGTAACTTTTTAAAGTGGTCTTTAGAAATTGAAAATTTGACAAATTAATTTGACAATAAGTACTTTTCCACCAGATTTACCCCAAAACACTATCTTTGGCAAAAAGCACAATTACTGTTGCTATTTTAATAAACCAGCTGTATTTTTAATAAACCAGCTATAGAAATACAGAGTTACATGTGTGTGAATGGAAAGCAGGCAGGTGGAACAGTGAGATTAGGAGCAGGTCACAAAATGTGCAGGAATTCAAGTACTTAGAGTTGATTGTCCAGGAAAATGAGGAGTGTTGTAAAGAGTGAAGGAGAGAGTCCAGGCAGGATGGAGTGGATGGAGAAAAGTTTCAGGAGTGATTTGTGACAAGAGTGGCAGCAAAAGGTCAAAGGAAATGTTTACAAGACAGTGGTATTGGCAAAAGACAGGAGACAGAACTGGAAGTTGCAGAAATGAAGATGTTGAGGTTTGAATGAGATCATCAGAGGTACAGCACAGGTTGAACAACTGGGATATAAAGTTCGAGAGGTCAAATTGAGATGGTTTGGACATGTCCAGAAGAGGGACAGTGGGTATATTGGTAGAAGGATGTTAGAAATGCAGCTGACAGGAACAAGACAAAGGAGAAATGTGGATGCAGTTAGAGAGGACATGGAATGAGGACAGAGTGAGATGGAGGAGGATGACTCACTGTGGCGACCCCGAAAAGGGAACAGCCAAAAGGGGAATATTTGTGGCAAAATCGTTGTGGCTATAATATGAAAACTAAAACAGCGTTCTTGTATCAAAGAGGCTTTGAAATAACACAAAGTAAATAAAAAGCTGATTAATTTGCTCTTTAAAAAAAACACAAGAGACTAAAAGGTAAGTGGTTCAATCACATTACAATCCTGGCTCCATTTGGAAACTACCTGAAACATAAAATGTGATGGAGAACATTTTGAGAACTCCTGTGGAAAATGAATGACTGAATCAGTGGAATAGTTGCTACTCAAGCACAACCAGTGAAGTATTGGACCTACAAGTGATAAGGTACAAAACAATGAGAAAAACTGATTCAAATAGGCATTCTGTCATTGTTGGGTCAACGAAAGCGCTAAGACTGTAGCTCTTTGTTGTTTTTTATACAACTTTTATTATGTGACTTTTAATCATGTTTATTATCTGACTGTATGATTGTTTTGTTGTGTGTACAGCACTTTGGTCCTGTGGGTATTTAAAGTTCTTTATAAATAAAGCTGGTATTGTATGGCATGGTATGGTATTGTATGGCGTGGTATGGTATTGTATGGCATTGTATGGTATGGTATTGTATGGTATTGTATGGTATAGTATGGTATTCTATGGTATGGTATTGTATGGTATGGTATGGTATTGTATGGTATGGTATTGTATGGTATGGTATTGTATTGTATGGTATGGTATTGTATGGTATGGT